ATTCCGAGAAGCCCACCTCTGACCTACTTACTCGCTGTTATTAATCTGTGACGAGATAGTCGAAACGTTGATTTCGATATAACGAATCTCGTGTTTAATCCTCCACGCGGAACCAAACAGAGTCGGAGTGCTTTTTAATCCACGGTTAACGACATTATGCAACGCGGGTAAAAATATCTAGCTCTCGTTTACGCTAATTAATACGATCGTAGATTACGATCTGTAATTGATAAGAAGTACCGCGATACCGGGTCGCTCGTGTTATTTGCGCGCGAACCAAGGCGAATATAATTAGCCGATCATGCATCGATATTGAACGAGGAAAAATGATTTCCCATTGAAAAGAACGAAAAAAAGTAGCGAACCAAGGAGAGAGAACGCCGTGGTTTTCGAAGGCCGGACAGCAGGAAAAATGCAAATGTTACATACGTCACGTGTATTATACAGCGTGATACTATTATCTGAATAGTCGATGAGCTTGAAGTTTATGCACAGTGGATATCGCAACGCGAGTATTCAGGGTGTCTGAAAATAGTCAAATCGTGCTACGCGAATCTTTCGGCGTTTCAGAGTGCAACGCGTAGTTGTAGCTCCGCCGATATCGCCTCCGGCTTGTTTAGATAGTTTTCAGAAGAAAAGTGGTACGAAACTCGTCGAAAAAGTCTCGCGTCAGCGAGCTTAATTGCGATTAACGAGAGATTTTTACGATTCCATCCGCCTGGCCGTGAACCGCGTGATTGCGCCAATCCTTGTCGCACATGCTCGCCGCTAGTCTAGCCACATTTTCACGTCTTATCTTCGTTCCGTTGAACTCTAGCGTCGATATCAGCGTGGCTTTCATTCATCGTGCCCGAAGATGGAAAAAATACGCGTTAGGATGTCGTAGATCGAGCTTATCGTATTCTACAGGATTATCGGCCGGGAACAGCGCGAAACCTCTGCCTTTTCATTAGCACGCGACCGTGGAAATTGCAGACCGAAGGTGAACCGTTGATTCACTTGAATTCATTAGAAATCAGCGAACTCCGTATGCTTACCGATTCCTCGTTATGTCACGATGTATGTACACCGTTTATGCTCTTTTTATTCGTTGAATATGGAAAGTTTTTTCACGATTTTTTGTCCCGCCTTGTGAGCGATTTCTAGAACAATAATTAAAGGAACGGTAGTCGATGTTTAGCCACGGTTCACATCGCGTATCGGCTCCTATTCGGCCGTTATCGCGAGCGTGCGTTGTTGCAGTGACGCGGCAGCGCGAATACTGGGAGGTCAACGTCGGTTCAACGCGGGAACAAGTACGTTTTTCGTATTGTTGTCACCTCGTTATCAGCTGACCTTTAATTCTCTCCTAACCTAACCTTTAATCGGACGCTCTGTATGCGCTCGCGATAAACGATACCGCGCGCGCGATATTCTCGGAGTCGAAAAACAGTGAATCGCGGCGTTGATTTTTCAACCCCTTTCGAACGACTTAACCTCTCCTTTTCGGGATCACCGGTTAGATCGTCGTTTCGACAAATTGTTTCCTCGTTAACTAGACTGTTTCCTTTCCGAGGAGATAAGTATTCACCAGTTGTCGTTTATCGTATCGCGCTAACTACGTTTATTTATCAACAGTTTCCTCCCTGTATCGCGCACTCTCTCTCTCCGTGAAAAACAAGCCAGCGATCGCGAAACGAACTTTGAGACGTACGCCAATGATTCGTTCTACACTCGAAATACGAGTAATACCTCGCTACCAGCGATGCGACAATGTTTCCCCCGGAGATAACAACCGTAGAATCGTAATACGCGATTAACTTACTTTTTCGTTCCACGCTGCGCCAGGCACGTCTGCCGCACCGAACGTCCACGACGAAAAGAGGCCAGTTCCTTCAGTCACGTAAACCTCGATAACGCGTCGATTTCGAGAAAAACGATGCTCCAGCTAGATCGTAGACCGGGAGTTCAATCAGAACTGAAGTTCGGCGTGCGCCGCTCTGTGACGCGGCTGTTACTGCCGCGCTGCCGATGAATCAACAGGCTGCATCTAATGTGTCTATTGGTCGCATCCCCTCCACTTTGGGGAGTACTTCCGTACTTTGTCCATCTATTCGCTCCTCCGAGCAACCAACTTTTTCTCCCTTCCGAAGACCACCACGATCTTCTCGATCCACCATACGCACGCTCTACAGACCCACGCTGTTATTTTCCCTGCCTTTTTCTACGCCTCACACGTTGTATAATTATCGACGGAGACCAACTCGCGCTCTGTACCGCGTACACTCGAGAGAAGTAGGAGAGACACTGGTTCTTCTTCTTTCACTTGTTGCTCCTTCCTTTTTCTGCTTCAAGACGTTTATCTCGTGTTGTTTGGCTTCCGTCCAAACGTCGCGGCGGACCCTTGAAATACTAGCCTGACGTTCGCGCCACGAACAGATGGCACTTCCGTCGTCCGTTAATTTTATTTAACACGTGCTCGTGGTATCGACACGCGCGTTAGCGCCTTCCCGATAAGAGAGGAAGCGATTCGTGGAGACGAGAGAACCGCAGAGATAACAGGTTGCCTCTCGTGTCTCCTCTGCGTTGAAAATCGGTCGAGATTCGTTTCGGGAACAGTTAGGTTGGCGTAGAGACAGCTCGATTGGCAGCGATCACTGGCTAGAGTAAAAACGGAATAGCACACCACTTAGCACAGTCACAAGGAGCCTATTTTTTCCTGAGCACGCATCTGAGTATTCTCGTGTGGCGCATAAAGGCGTCGATTCATCGTTCGGGAAAAATAGCTTTCGCGGTGGAAAGGTTTCGAACGGTCTTCTTGACCTGATATCGCTTACGTAATGCTGAATCTCTTATCGAATCACGCGGACGCAGGGTGGACCTTCGTCAGGGATAATTATCGTCCCAAGTAAACGCTATCTCCCTCTTTCTCTCTGCGCGCTATCGCAGTTCGAATCGATAACCAACGTTCGACAGATAGTTCAGGCAACGGGACGGTTTCGAAAAAAAAAAAAAACAAAATGGGAAAGAAAGAATTATTTACCGAAAGAGTCACGCCATAACGAACACAATTTATATCTTATCTTTCGTCGTACTTTTGCAGAAACAATAAACGTCGTCTTCGAACCAGACGCTCTCTTACTTCGTTTGTCTTGAGGCTCATTTTGCTTCGTCGGACCTTAACCACAGATTCTTTTGTTGAAACCGTAAAGAAGAAGACACGAATGTTTAGTTGGACGTGGCTGTGATTACAGGTGCTTGCGGTGAGGCTCGACCTGAAACTGGGGCCAAGCGTATCCAACGGGAAGAGGGACCACGCTCGCGACAGGTAGTAAGCCTCAGAAGTGCCCAGCCACCCCCGTTCAACCCCTCCGCCGTCTGGTCCGGTTCAGAGCCGTTGATCTCTTCATTGCCAAGCAGAATAGTCCAAGTACATCGTCTGCGAATAGCGACCGCCAGGACGGGGCTTCTGTCTGTTAATTGACCCGACAATTCTCTACCGACCGAGCCCCTCCGCCGTTCACTCGTTCCTTTATGCTCCTCCGAACTTCGTCTAAGCGTGTTTCGGTTAACTGTGTTCGCACTAACGGGATCCAAGTGTAAGAAATGCGAGAAGTGGTGGTCTGGAATTTGTCACCCAGGAAGAGAAAGCGCGCGGGTACCTAAGGGTCCCATAAACGAAGCCCTTTCCCCGGAAAGTCGAACGAGGGGACTCCAACGGTTTTTTCGGAGATAGCCGTCGAGCGAGACGGACGCCGGAACACTTAACAGTCGCTTAGGAATATAGAATAAATACATTTTTGGATACCACACTATCCCGAGTTAAATTCTTTTTTTCATGCACTTAGTCACAGTTCAGGAACGTTGGGAAGATCATGGTAAAAGTGGTTGCAATTTGCCGCTAGCCGTTTACCGAGCAAATAGAGTAGAATTCCTAGACAATCGGCTGGTATTACGCGTAAACTGGCTAATGGATCGTTATCAAATGATCCAACGCAACGATACGCCGGGGGATTAATAACGATCGAGTATGCACGTGTGACCGTAAACTACGGTCGCGTCCGTAGATTGCAATGTTTTATTTTCTTTTCAGCTCGCGATCGTCAGTCTTCGACTTGTTTGGAGTAGATAACGCGCGGAAATGCCACAACTGTTCAAACTCGACGATATCTCGAGAACTCGGGTATAGATAGAAGAGAGCAGAGGAGAC